CACAGGTTTACAATAAAATAAAGCAATTAAAAGCAGTAAGAGAGGACATTATTACTAACTTACGTAATGGAGAAAGAAATTAATGTAAGGATGACAGGCCAAGAGAGCATGAAAAAAGTCTTAAATAATGTCTTCAATAAGAGAGTGGCAGTGGCAGTCACATATGTTAGTATTTTAATTTTCAAATTTTCTTAGGTTTTTTATTGCTCAGACTAAAGGAAGCTGACCACTGTGGATTCTATGAAATGAAGAATTCCTACCTGGGGCCAAAGAATGTAATGGAGCACTTTGCAATTTTGTATGTCCTATGATAAATACAGGTTTCACACAGTCCAATATGTAACTAATTGGGCAAAACCATCATTCTTGGAAAAGTAGTTCCACTCTAAAAATGCGACTGTAAAAACTCAGCTGTGTAAGGCACTGCATCTTATGTGTCTCAGTGGCTGGAAATTGCATTTGTTCAAAGCACAAGTTGTTTTTTTCTCTTCCAAAAACATGGCCAGAAGGCTTCCCTTGGGATCAGAAACTTCCGCTGTGTTCCTTTTGGCTTATGCATCATCCTCAGAAAGATGATTCATTTGAATCCATATTTCTGAGTATGACATTCGAGCCAAAAGGAAAGTAGCAGAAGTTTCTTGTAATACTGTTTACAGAAATCTTTAGATATGGCGCAATGACCCAGAGCTGACTCTGAAAGGTAGTGGAGCACCTCACCTGGCTAACTAGATTCGCTGAAGGCTGGTGTTAAAATGTCGATATAGTTACCATGGTTACCTGCTCAGTAACTAACTGAGCATACAGTCTTGAATTTTGCAGCATGTAACTAAAAAGGACTAAAGTTTCCTTTGACGGAAAGAGTCTACCACCAAACTTGAGATACATAGTAAACTTGCAGCAGTATACAGTATAGCATTGCTTCATGTTAATATCTAATCTCCTAGTTGAGTAAGATACTACCAAGAGCAACCTGCAACTGCATCAGGCAGCAGTTCCACTCTGGGGTTCTTCTTAGCTAGCTCAAATGTTGTTAACTACCCCATGTTTCTGGCTGCAAGGTCTGACAACTGGAAGGAATTGTTTCAAAATACCATGAGTCTGTCCTCTGAAATAAGAAAAGTCTCAGTAACTAAGACTACTTTGGTCTGTAGAAACCTCTAGGATGCCACTCGGCCAAGAAGCTCAGAGACACCTGTCTACTGCTCAGATTTCAACCAGAAACCACCTTTTATCCTCAAAACCGAAATAAAGTTGATAACCAGCTTTTTGAAGCCTAATTGAAGTCACTGCCTGAATGAAGAGCAGTGGCTGTAACACAATCCAGGCATATCTGGAAGAAACGCACAACTGGCTGAAGGCTTGTCTCCTCATACAACAGCATTTACAGGCGCTAGCTCTCCTTCCTGCCTTTAGTTTCTTAGTATCATTGGGCCATAAACAATCATTGCACACACACAAAATCAGTTTTATTTGTAGCTGAACAAAATAGTTAATTCCCGTAATTCCCTTCAATGCAGAGTGAACATGCAGGGCCATGTTCAGCTTGCGTGCAAACAGTGACAGTGCATACAAAATAACTATACCCTGGTTTCTGTTTTACAGATGAGGATGCTGGACTATCATCTACACAGAAGCATAAAAAAAGATGCTTATATCAGCTTTAATTTTGCCTCTTGCACTGCTGCCACAAACGAAGACTGAGTTTTGGCTGTATAACCACAAGTTTGCTGACAGTTTTTGTTCTGGTTTATAGCAGGAGACAGAAGGGAGTGAAGCCCAGGCTGCTGGCACCATAGTGTTAAGTGCGAGTGATAGTAAAGATACTGTCAGTTGAGTGAACAGAAGAGGCTTGAGTGCATGCAGAAATAACACTGTCTGAGGAAAGAACTGGCAGTTTTACTTAAGCACTTTCCAGCAGGAAGGACAATGTATTTATTACCTGAGGCATTTTATTGCCTTTTCCTTTTCTCCCCTCATTTGGAGACCACTCGGTGGATAAAGAACTGGCTGGACAGTCACACTCAAAGAGTTGCAGTCAATGGCTCGATGTTCACGCAGAGAGCAGTGACAAGTGGCATTCAAGGGTCGGTACTGGGACCTGTACTGTTCAACATCTTTGTCCTGGACATGGACAGTGGGGTCAAGTGCACCCTTAGCAAGTCTGCCACTGATACCAAGCTGTTTGGCAAGGTAGACACGCTGGAGGGGAGGGATACCATCCAGGTGGACCTGGACAGGGTGGAAAGGTGGGCCCAAGCCAACCTCACGCAGTTCAACAAGGCCAAGTGCAAGGTCCTACACCTGGGTCGGGGCAATCCCAAGCACAAATACAGGCTCAGTGCGGAATAGCTAGAGTGCAGCCCTGAGGAGAAGGACCTGGGGGTGCTGATTGACCAGAAGCTCAGCATGAGCCAGTAATGTGCAATCGCAGCC